CGCCCCGCCGCCACCTCCCACCTCCTTTCCGGCCGTCGCAAAAGGGGCGTAAAAGCGCCGCCCGGTGCGGGGAGGTTGAGGTAAATGTTGGGGTTTTTCTCCGGTGGCGATTGGGACGCGAGGGAAGGGGATTTGTTCTCCCGGTTCTGTGCGCTCTCCCAAGGGCGGGACGGGGTCCCTGAAGGAGACGGACGTCGTGTGGGTGAGAGGGGAGGCCCCTGAGGTCGGGCCTGGGCCTGTGCTGGGGGCTGGGGTACCCCCACCCGGCCTGGCTGCGGGTGGGTCCGGGCCGCTCCGGGGTCTGCTCCCTTCGGGCTAGGGGCGAAGCATTTGGTACGTCCGAGAGGTGCCCTTGTCCTCCCTCCTCTCTCCTGGGTGTTTGCTGACGAGCAGCCAGGCCCGGGTGAAAGTCCTGCGGGAGCTGGACGGTCTGGGGTTGTTTGTTTTGGAGGATGAGGCGCATTTGGGTTGGTTGGTTGAGAACCCCGGAGGGGTGGGGGGACGCAACCCTTCAGGAAAAGAGGAAAAGTGGCTCTCTTTCTGTATTGGAACTAATTTTTCTGATCATCCAGGACAACACTCACAGGGATCTCATAGGTGACTAAGTCTGATTTCCTGATAAACAGATGGGTGCAAGTCTGTCTGCTCCCAAACTTCGCGAGTTCCTGTGTAAGCAAGGCCCTGTGTGCTTGCTTTCTCCTCTCCTCCCGCTCCCAGGGCTTTCTGAGGCTGGCTTTTCACTGTCAGAAATTGCCTTAATTAAGCTGTGAAGGGTGGAAATGAGAGCGCTTGTTCTTGCGCCAGTGTTGGCCTTTGATTTAGGCAGGTTATTTTCCCTCCCCGGTCCGTGTGTTGCTCATGGCTTTAGGGATAGCTGCCATCTTCCCCTCTCAGCCTTCATTCTCCTGGACTTCACAACTAGTTGCGTTTCTGTTTGGTTATTTGTTTTCCTGTGGATAAGTAGCAAACTTTTCTTTTTAGTCTTCTTTCTCTACTGCTTCTCCTTTAGTTTGCGTGGGGAGTTAAGTGGTTTTGATCATCTGCCTTCCAGGGAGATGAAACATTGCAAGGGTCCTTGTTAGCACTGGAAATGCTGTTCCTGACTCTGTGTTTTCTTTTCAGAGCTGCCCCATGCTGGTGTCTGTAGGCTGTCTTTGAGCAGCTAGAGCTTGGTTGCTCCTGCTTGTTTCTTGCAGAGCTTAAAAGCTGAATAGGCAGTGAGCTTTCACATGAACTGGGTTAAATTTGGAGAAGAAAAAAGCCACAGCAAAAGCGAAATAAGGAACAGCAATCTGAAAAAAAATGCATGCAACTGCCTTTAGGTGGTCGTTCAGCCTCAGCAAAGAGGCAAAGCTGCTCCAAACCAATTTAACTTAAGACTTCTCTGTATTTGTACTGGTTTTAATGCCATTGTTTGTTAACCTAGGTGGTATAGGTCTGTTATGCATTGCCAGGAGGGAGACGTGAGGGGACGACTGTGCCTTGGTCTGTAACATAAGTCAGTGGTGTGGTGTAAGTTTCTGCTGCTGCTGAAACTGAGGCTGGTGGCTGCAGGATATTCGCTTCAGTAGGCAGCGGGGAAGGTAAACAGGCGCAGCTTACAGTTTCATAACTGCATTGAGAGCACGTGTTTCCTGTCTTTCCCTCAGCAATTCTCCAAAGAGCTTCCTTTTCTAAGGGAGAAATCGAAATACAAAATCTTCTTGGTTTGTTGATGGCAAAAGAAGCGCTCCTTAGAGCAGCGCCTAGAAACTTTAAAACCTTAATAACCTCCTTTGCGCTCTTCACCTCCAACACATCTCCACCCTTTCTGTTGCAGGATCTTATGATTCTCTGTAACAGCTGCTACCTGCCAAATAAAAACCCTGAGGGCTCCCAACCCATGAGCGGGCATCGAAACATCAAGAGGCGATGTGGGGAGTCGCACCTGGAATCCCCCGCGGGCTGCGGCCACGGTCCCGCCGCTGGATGCGTGTTAAGCAAACTCGTTCAGTTGCCTACGCCTCCCTTGTCGAAGCACCAGCTGAAACGGTTAGAAGAACACAAATACCAGAGTGCCGGACGATCCCTGCTTGAACCCCTCATGCAAGGTTACTGGGAATGGTTGGTTGGAAGAGTTCCGGCCTGGATTGCCCCCAATCTGATCACCATCATTGGACTGTTAATAAATATATTTACAACTCTGCTATTAGTATATTACTGCCCAACAGCTACAGAACAGGTAAGTTAAGGACCTTTGAGAACCTTTTTCTTGTGATTACTGTGATCTTGGAGCAGCTGGCACCGTTTTCTGATGGGTTCTCATCTTTCTCGTTGACCAGCCTGCAGCTTTCATATATTTAAAGTAATCTCTAGAAATGGTTGTAATGTGTGTGCCTCTGTGTGTGCAGAAGGAGCTCACAGGGGTTCTGGATTAGCATGCTGCTCACTGAGTGACACAGCGGTTCCTCTGGCCACCGTGCCCTGTACGAAACGGGGTCCAGTACCAAACCAGCTGTTCTGGTGGCAGTGGTGAAGGTCCTGCTGCACAAAAGCCGCAGCCTCACAAGGCTTGAGTGCACACACGGGCAAAAAATGAATTTGCAGTGGCTTTGCTTGCATGGCATGTGGAGTTTTTTGCCCGTTTTCTTTCTCTGCTTGTCCCTGGGTTAGTCACCTTCAGCTTTGCAATCTAGAGTTACCGCACGACAAGGAGTGGAAGGTGACTCGATGGGCAGGGCTCTGCCAGTTGTAATGTGGCGAGGAACTTGAGCTTGGAAAAGGGACTGAGCTGGTGCAGCTGGAGAGATTAAGGCCGGCTGCTTCCTCTGCGGCTGGTGTGACTAAAGCCAACTTATTTAAAATAAAGGAACACCTTTCTTCACCCTGTGTGGGCCCTGGCAGTTCGTCTTTCCAGGCAGCTCAGATCAGGACCGTAGGTACAGCGTGTGATGAGCTGTGGGAACACAGCGTTGTCTCCTGGAGCAGTCTGTGCTGCGAGAAGGCTGGATAAAAGTCAGTGGTTTTATTCTTTGTTCTGAATGCACTAAAAGCTCCTGACCTGTCCTCAGGAGAACTGCCTTAACTTCCTGTAATTCCTGGTTTCAGGGGTACAAAAGCCTTTACAAGGCATTTCAAGTTAGGAGCTTCAAAGACTGTTCTCTCTCACAAGGGTTGTCTTTCGTTTTTGTGCACTGGGAAGGGTTTGTCACTTGAGTGTTGAATCTTAAAAGCTGCTCATATCTCTAAGCACTGAAAAAGCGAATCATTTGGTACAGAAGATGTATTACATGTCACATAGCTGGAGAACGTCTCAGGAGTTCAAGCTTTTAAACCATCTGAACTACTTTACTACGTAGAGTGATGTTTGCCTCTTCCGGAGAGCTGTTCCAATAGATGGTTTCACAATAACTTGTGAAATTTGGCAGGTGGAAGATAAGAAGTGAATATTAAGTTTGAGCAGAGGATAACCAGAGCAGCCTTTTTCATACTGACCTTGTTGAGTGACTTGGCTTTAACTTGCTGCTTCCTCCCAGCAGTATTGCATGGGGTCTGAGTCTCAAATCCAGTTCAATAGAGAGCCTTGAACCTGTCTTTATTTCAGCAGCTCGGCAGCCAGTATAGGCCACTGAACTGGAGCATAATTTGGAATTTAGAGTGGTATTTTGGTTGCTAATTAAACTTCTGAAGTACACACTAAGCTACTCTTCGAGTGTCAGAAAGTCGCAGTGTTACTGCAGTCCACTTTATTAACGCGCTATTTTGTGTTAAACACTTTGAGAGTTACTTTGTGCGAAGCGAATGAGATTATTTTTCAGCCAAAGGGAGAAGGCAACTTTCTGCTGAGGTAGCGTTCAGCCTGCTCTGATTTGCCATATGGTGCTGCAGCCCCGTGTGCTGCCATCGCGGGGACGATGCCATCTCAGCGGTGGAGCTGTAAGCTCGTGCTTTTTAAGTGTCAGGTAGCTGTCTGGGGGCTTTGAAATTCCAGAAACTGATTGTTTTATTTATTTATTTTTTCCCCCCTAAAAGCATTCTTGCTTTCAACTGGAAATTGTCGCTTCCTTGTAGCTCGGTTTTAGCTCTGCTTTGTTTCAGAAGTCTCTTCCTGTCGATGAAAGGTGTAGCCAAGGGAATGTCGCTATCGCTGACAGCCTCGCTGGTAGCCAAAAAGAAAATGAGACACAAATAATTTCTACTGCCTGCTTGGCTGGGTGGATCCCAGTGAGCAAAGTGCTGAGCAATGGAATGACACCTGACTTTTGTTTTATTTTATTTAAGAGGTAAGAGAGGGAGCTGTGAAATCTCATGCAGATACAAGTAATATTGAAGTGGAAACGCCTACGCTGGTAATGAAAAGAGTGTTTAGGAAAGAAGAGCCAGCAGTCTGATATATATATATATTATTTTTAAAGCTTATAGAGGAAAAATTGCATAATGCTGAAAGATACCTTAAACCTTGTGTATCAAATCTGTCCCTAAGAAGTAAAAATATCCTGGTGTTGTAGGCGAAATAACAGTTTTATTGATTAAAGTAGTGAATCAAACATTTTAGTGAATCAAGCAATTAACTGAATATCTATTGTAGATGAAGTAGTGCTTTGCAGTTTAACCGAATATCTATTTAATTATAAGGTAGATGTTTGAGCACTTATGCACATATTCATTTAGTCTAAATGAATACATATACTTCACAGTTTAACCAGAGAAAGTATGTACCAGGAGGTGCCTGGCTCACAGGGAGTGCCAAGAGAAAGAGGAACTTTAGGAAACCCTGAACCTGAAAGGAATAAGGTAGAACCTGGTAATAAAAGATGCTGGCAGTATTTATTCCTGGTCCAAGAGGAGAGGCTGGACCCTTGGTACCGTGGTTTCCTAGGTGTATACCAAGTGATAAGGAAAGGATTAGGTAACAACTCTTCTTGTCGCGCTTCTATATGCCAAGAAACTAGGTGGGGATAAATTTTGTGTGCCGAGAAATTAGGTAGAAGTGGGCTTTAGAGTAAATCAATACCTTGTACGGGTCAGTGTGATGATGGGGAACCAATCGTGATAAAGGGCAAATGAAAAGCGAGCATTTTATGCATATTTTTATAAACTTGTGAAATCGCTTTGTTAAAAATGTATAGATGAGCTGTGAAAATGGATGGATTTTGGAGCACACCTTTGAGGGGCTGCCCTCTGTGTTCCCCAGCGCTGCAAATAAAGCAGTGCCTACTTATCTGCAACTGTGTAGATAAGTTTTTCTTGCTACCACTGGGATGGGATTTTATAGCATCCAAACCTTGTCTGGATGTGGTCCTCTGCTTTTGGGCGATGCATTTGTCCCGTCATTCTCTTCTTGTACTGGTTTGTATGGACACAGTGCGAAAAGCAGAGCACGGTGCCGGCTTTGGAGGCAGAATGAACTGTTTTAGCAGGAACAATGCAAGCTGTAAAGAATATATTTAGGTTGATGTGCTACAAATGAGTCACGGTTGAGTAGACCAAAAGACGCTGGACTCCAGAGCTTTATGGGAGGTAGGAAGCTTAATTAAGCTGCTTAGGCTGTAGTTGGACTTTATTGGTATGCTCTGTAAAACAGAGCTGCTCGTAAATGCTCGCTTTCATGAAGTGTGTCAAATATGAAGACTGCAAAATATGCAATAATGTCTGTCGTATGGCTGTGTAAACTGAGACTAATGGCAACCCTCTGGCTCTCGTGGTAATGATGGTTTATACTTCAAATGCTGGAAAAAGCTTAATTTACAGCCTTTGGTCTAGCAGGGGGTTGGTATCATTTGTATTTCTGTAGCAATAAAGTGCTGTACAGGCTGTGAATATTAAGGGTTGTTAACACGGATTTGGCAAAGCTGCTGTTACCTGGTAATGGAATAAAACCCATTGGTGGTGGGGTGCTGTGCTGCAGAGCTTTAGAGGTCTCAGAAAATGTAATTGCTCAACTTAAACTCTGGAAGCTTGAGCACTTTGCAGCGCCGTTGTTGTGCAGCCTGGTGACACCCCATGCTTGGTGTTTTAGTACGTGACACTTCACTGAGCTCTTGTGAAGATGAGCTCAGTGTTTGTGGCACAGTTGCATGTTTTGGGGGCTAAGAAAGCTTTGTAGTTTCTAAATCACCCACATGTAACCCTACAGGGGAGAGAAGCGAGGCAAGAGCTTAATTGTGCACGCTTTGCAGATGCAGAACTATGTGTATTTGTTTTTTCAGATGTACAATGCAGCTTCTTGCTTTAGAAAACGCACTGTATCCATTAATCCAAGCTTGTAACTCTTGTCACCGTTTTATTTAAGTTTCATGTGTCATAACCCCCTCTGCCTGTCCCTGCAAGGACCTCAAGGACTCAAAGGTCCATGCGTGTGATGAGGAAATGTGTGCAAATGAAAAACAGCTGTGTGAGAATGTAAGGTGGTTTAACTTGGCTTTTTTGTTGAGGTTTGAAAATGCTTTTATTCTCATTGAGTGTTTCTTTCGTAGGCACCTCCCTGGGCATACATCGCTTGTGCCTGTGGCCTTTTCATCTACCAGTCTCTGGATGCCATAGATGGAAAACAAGCGAGAAGGACAAATAGCAGTACTCCGTTAGGAGAACTTTTTGATCATGGCTGTGATTCGCTTTCCACAGGTATTGTCATTTTTAATTGAAGTATGAGGATTAGACGACTCTATTAGAGGGACCAAACCTGGAATACAGAGAATGCCTCTTTAATGAAGCACAGCTGATATTGCTGAATGTGTAGCTTCTCAGTCCTTTCCACAGGCAATGCTCTTGACCAGTTGAATGTCTTGTGTTACACTGAGAAAAAACTCAGCATGTGATTAATTCAATGCTTTATCAGAGCTTTGGTTCTAAAAAAATGCTGTAAGAAGCTGTCAGGATGCTCTTCTATATTATTTTAGATTGAATCTGTGTAGGACGAGTGCAGGACAGGTATGGATCCTGACCACTGGGACAGTAGAAGTCTGAGTTTGAGGTTAGAATTGGCAAAATCAGGTCCCAGGTAGGCAGAGTTCATTGAGCCTGAAGTTTCACCCCATTGCAAAAGAATGATCAGGTGCTTTTGGGTAATTAAATTCTAAGACTCTTATGCTTGAAATTTTTATGACTACTTTTCAATCATGTATTTAAAGGGGGGGAGGTGTAAATCTTGAATGACAGACCTTGGGTTTTCTTAATGGCATAATAAAAATTCAGAAATGGGGGGAAAAAATACGTCCAGCAGATGTTGGAGACGTGAGAAAAGCCCAAAACTCTGACCACAGGCTGCAGTTGCTTAAATTACTGCAGTCCCTTGCTGTCTAATCCTATTAAATTCAATAGAAGTGTAGAAAACTTAGGAAACCCTCGATACTGAGGACTTCTGGTAGCTGATAGGAATTTAAATATACATTTTATGGTCTGCACTTTTTAAAAATGGAAGTGTTTATCTCTGAAATAAACCACATTAGGATACTTTTGTATTTTCTCTCCTCTGGGTTAGGTTTGTTTCTGGTGAGGATCTTTACCCGCATCCACACTTTTTCACTGTGTGACTGATTTTCTCCTGCAGTCTTTGTGGTTTTGGGAACTTGTATTGCTGTGCAGCTGGGGACGAACCCTGACTGGATGTTCTTTTGTTGTTTTGCTGGGACGTTCATGTTTTACTGCGCGCACTGGCAGACCTACGTCTCTGGAACGTTGCGTTTTGGCATGTAAGTACTTTGGCTGAAGTGAAAACTGAAAGTTCAGCTGCTTTCCTGTTTGGTTGCTCTTGATGTGGTTGTAGTTCAGCTCCTTAAAGCAGTGGTAACTTGGTTTTGTTCATATAGAAACTTAGAGCTTGTGGCACCTCTTACCTGTTGGATCTGTGATTAATGCTGAAAGTTACTTTGCTGCTTTTAGGAGTGGTAAAATGTCCTTCTGTCATATTATTTCTGATGTAACTGAAACCTAAATAAATCAGGCAAAGTATCTGGCTTTCCATTCCCTAAAACACGATGCTTTGTCAGATGGTGGCAGTCTGACTGTAGTATTCAGTTAACTGCCTCTCTCTTCATTTTGCTTTACTTGTGGTGAGGTAGAGTTGATCTTCCCTGTTAACCACAACTTTTAAAATGCAGCGTATTCATTGATGTTGTGCCTACAATTTAAAGTTCTGAATCCCTTTTCGATAGTATAGACCATGGTTCTGTCCAAAATGGGACCAAAGTTGCAACGCTGAGAAAGTCAACAGCTAAAAATCTTGCTTATTGCTGGGTGAGGGTGGGTGGGGAAGCAGAACACATGGATTTGGTGATTCACCAGCCTTCACGTGGAGATGTATGTTTATTTTGCCTTTCCATCCATAGATCTTGCAAGCTAACAAATATATTGCAAGTAAATACACTGCAGAATGACTTTGCACCCGAAAACCTCTGCAATTTGTCCTTAGTTGGTGTGAGATTTTGAAACAATGCTCCAACACGCACCGTTTCTTTACAGTTTATTGCTATTTATTGATAGCTACTGCTAAAACAACACAATTATGGACCTCTCCATCAGCTCTTATTAGCAGAACACCAATGCAAATTCTCTTGAGAAACTTCTGTATCAAAAATGTAAGATGACAGAGCGAGTTTCAGTGACTTTTGGAGGAAGAAATGAAAAAAATCTAGACCCCTATTTCAGTATTTAAGTATTTAAGACCCTTATTTAAGTATTCTCTGCTACTTAAATCTTTGAAGTGAGCCCAGATCTTGTGCTGTTTTAGGCTTCTGACTTTTGTGCCTTACTCAAAGTCTCCATACTGAATACTTCCAGCTGCATTTGAACTTTACGGGGCCCCCAGAATTAAAGTTTTCCTGTTATTGACCAAAGAACACAAAGAAAACTCAACCCAAATAACCTTGGCATGTGCTTGACTTTACAGATGCGAGTGTCAAAACCACCCCATTTGCATTTTTTCTCCTGACAGATGTGCACGTTACTCCTGGTATTGCCTGTGACTTTTGCTTTTTTTTGCCTTTGTGAGGAGTCTAAATTCTGGTGGCAGCGTTTTGTAGCAGATATGATTGTTCTGCATGGCCTTCCATGAGGAGAACTTGAGGATCCATCAATACGGAGCTAATTTAGAGAAGGCAGCAAGCACACAAATGTGTATTTATCACTAGTTCAGGCAGCAAACAGCACTGTGTAGTAAACATATTTGTTTCTTCGTGTGCCCTGTGTCACAAAGTTAATAGACTGCTGTAAACTGACGTTCATTTCTATGGCAAAACCTGAGGTTATTTATCCAGTTAATTGACTTTCACTGTTTGATATTAGTTTTTTTCTGAGGCTTTCACTTCACCAATCATAAAACTGAAAAAAGTCTCTATTTTGTCCACCCTTTCAGGCTCACTGGAGCACACAGGCTTAGGTATTTTTCCTCCTGAGTGAGTGGAATCGGAGACGGCTGTTGAAAGGAGCCAAAAGGGTCTTAGTGCACAGTAGCTTTTTCCTGCCCGTGTATCCTATGTAGTAACTGTGTCAAAAATGCACCCAGGGGGCTGTGAAAATTAGTGACGCTGTAGGAAATGTGTCAGCGTTTCTAACTTGCCTCCCGTTCCAAAGCAGCAGGAAAGAGCGTACACTTGCTTATCACTTACTGTATTTCTGTGATGAGATTATGTCCAAGAAATTGCATTTCGTTAGAGATTAACTCAATAAGCAAATTGGAAACGGCTCCGAGAAGAGCAGCAGACTGCTCAAGGGTGAGATGAATATTTTACTCCTTACACAGCTCAAACACAAACAGTTAAGTGCATAATCAATGTGGCTTGCTGAAAAAGACCGTTGTCTTCCCGAAGGAATAAGATAAATTGGTGTGTCAAATGCAATGTATGCTTGTGGAACAGAGTGATTCGTGTGTGCTGTCGCTGTACCAGCCTTGGCAAGTCACTGGAGCTGTGCAGAGCCTGCTTTGTATCCGACTCTGCAGAGCAGGAGCCCTCACCCTGAGGAAGGAGAAATTGGGATCGTTTCTGCTAAATTTCTATGGAGTGCTGCAGGTGGAGTAAGAAAACTGTTAATTTAATTGTGCCCAATTACTGAACTGTGCTGGTTCTTTCTCTTCCCACTGGCAACTGCACTACTCCAGGATTGTAGAATAAGCAGCGAGGTCCTGTGCTGTCTCCACCTTTAAATGATCATTGAATTTTATTAGATCTTGGCAGCTGATGCAAACTTTTCAAAAAGCAACTGGAGCTGGTTAAATAGCTCCAAAAAAGAGCTAGAGGTCAGTATTGCTTAAAAATTCCCCGTGAGGAAGCAGGAAGTGTCTCAAAGCAAGTAAAAGCCACTACGGTAACAGCAGCAGCGCAGGGAACGGCGTGGGTACAGTCGTATGCAGAAGTTTTGTTTAAAAACAAACACCAAATCTGGGAATAGGCTCATGAAAAAGCAGGGATACGCTGTGCATATGAAGAAACAAAAAGGTGATTCTGAATCACAGGCAAACATCCAATATTGAAGCAGTCCAAATATTTTGTTCTCCCGTTTTTCAGCACAGTAACTGGTTTATCTGGATTTGTGGCTAGAATGGGCTTTGTTTCGGGCTTAGTCTTATATGGGTGCAGCTGTGCCATAACTGGGATACGTCTGGTTTGGGAAAAAAAGTGCATTTTCTGCTGCATATCACAAAAATCGAATTGGCAAACCCCAATGGGTCACCACACGTGGGAGCAGGTCTGGTATTGTAGGAACATGGTGAGACGTGAGTGGTGCTGCACCATGGTCTCCAGCATTTCTCCTGTGACTTATTGCATCATCTGGCTTATCCCAACCTTTCTCCATTGGCATATGGAAAGCTGGCAATAGTAGAAATTATAGGGGGATGTGTGTATGTGTAAATAAAGTAATATATTTATATATCTACACAATAAACTGGAAATGAGTTTCTAGGTACGCTTCATAAAAGCATATCAGAAAGCACTGAGAGGAAAGATCAGTTCTTACCAGCTTTCATGTAACTGAAAAGTAAAAAATGTGACTTCACTGTATGAGTGACAGTCCCTGGAGAAAACCAAAGCGTTCCTTTCTCCAACAAAACAGCCCTTACTGAGGAATGTTGGAGAATCTGGGGGAACACTCCTGCTCGGTGACACTGCAGCCCTTGCACATAAGCAAGAGGCTGTGCTTTAGGAGGGGATGAAGGTTCATTTGGTTAACCTGGGTTAGTGTGGTTGACTTTCTGAGCCGCCTTGCCAGGATAACTGCTGAGGTGTAAAGGAGAAATGAGCAAATACGTTTGTATTTCAGAAAGCAACTGAAATGAAGCCTTGAGTTCTTGCTCTTGGGAATTGCTTCAGGATCTCAGGATTACGAGAGGAGATAAGGCAGCAATCCCTGTGATTACAGGGCTTAAAACTTTCCATCTTGGGAGTTTTTCCAGCACTTTTTAAAGTGCTTTTAACACCTTGGTTACCTGCAGAGGAAAGTTTGAAGCGGAGTAGAGCCTCTCTTGGTGTCAGGGGGAATTGATTGCTCTATGCTTGCAAGAAGTACGTGTTGGAGTATCCTTGTGGTAGGTGTTAGTTTTGCTGCTTGTAACCTGCTGCCTTCTGCGTGCTTCAGTTGCTGCTTGCCATGCACCAGCATTTCTGTGATGTAAATCATCGAAATATGTGTAAGTGCCTTGCTATGGCGTAATTCGTGCAGCTGGAATTGCTGAGGGCTGACGTGGATACTGAGGAGGGTTTTCCACATCGTGATCCTCCTCCTCCTCTTCCTTTCCCTTTCGCAAGTCTCATAACAGTGTTTCTATTAAACCAGGAACCATGAGGTGCTGCTGCTGCTTTTGCTGCCTTTATCACTAAGAGATGCTCTTACTGCTCTGGGAAATCGTCAGCCTCAGCATAACAGCCACGTGCTTCACCTACTAATTTTAATTTACATTAATGAGCAGCAAAAGGGGGAAAAAAATACATGTCATCTTAAATGTATTGCAACAAGGAAAGGAAAAATACTTCTGGCTCATTTTTAGTATTATTTTTATCTCAAGAAGCATTTTCTGTAGCTTTAGGAATAGTTATAGTTCACTTATCTTTCTTCAGTACAGCGCGCTTTATTCCCGCTGTCTGTATTGCATTACAAATGAGTGGGTTCAGATTAAACTCCGTAATAACCTTGAAAAGGAGCAAATTGGAGTTCTAGCGTGTGACTTGTAGCCTTCTTTCTCTGGCGTTGTGCTGCTGAACGTTCTTTCCTTGCTGCAGTGATTCCCTTAAGGAAACAAACCTTTGTTTCGTGCTCAGATTTGGGATCCGTTGCCCAGCCGCAGCGATCCCCTGTGCAGGCGTGGTAGATACGGCTGAGACAGATGGAAAAACCATCCCTTCCCAGAGCAGAGCGCTGCTGCGCAGAGTATTCACTGACAGAAATAACCCCTTGAGCCTCCCAGCCTCAGATTCTGTTTTCTGATGGTTTTCCTATCTGCTGCGTTTTGCTACACAAGGCTGTTGTGAGGAGCTCGGTGTAGTGGGGAGGAGGATGGTGCATAAACACCCTCCCTTATTTTCACCCAATATTAACTATAAGTAATAAAATATCAGCGGTATTGGCAGTGATTGATTTGATGGCAGAGCAATCTTCAGTGTAAGGAGCCGTTTCCTGGTTTTCTTGGTTAATTTTCTCAGGAAGTCTCTCAACTTTTGAATTAAATCCTTTTGGTTCACCTGTCTGGAGAAGGGAAGAATTGCCTCTCAGCTGTGAAACTGGATTCAGTGATGACCCTTGTAAAGCCCGATGGCTTGGTTAATCACACAGGGCCTTTTAAAAGCTGCACATGGAATCCGCTCAGTAAATGAGCACTGACCAGAGGATATTCTCATGCATGACTAATTAATCGTGTGTTAATTGGCTCAAGGCTCAGCAGCTTGCCAAGGGAACCCAGCGGAGCACACAGAATAAGAGCTGGCACTGCCCGTATCTGAGTTAAGCACATGCCGAGGCCCATGGCCCCCTCTTAAGCTTTCCCAGCTAATGTTTATAAAACGAATCCCAGACAATGTTTAAGAAATTCACGTCTGAACCAAATACCAATTAAATAACAAAGGCAACAAAAGGAAAAGAAACCGCAGGTGTCCAAAAGTACCAGAGTCAGCCGCGGTGTTTGTGTGTGTGACTTTATCTTCCTGTATTCCCTGAAATACCAAATGTTACCTCTTCTAAATATATACCAAGTTAGGTGCTGTGATAATGAAACCGGGAATGCTTATCAGGCTGAAATGGAGCGTACCCTCTCGCCAGGCATGGCCCTGCACGTCGTGACAGCGGTGAGCTTCATGTCTCCAGTGTGCCTCTTTCATCAGCTGGCACGTTGCTGGGTAGCACTCTGCGTTCTTGGATAAGCACTGCAGTAAACAGGGTCTCTGTTATGGCTGAGCCTGTTAGTGCTGAAATATTTTGGGTTTTTTTAAAGCTGGATGGTTTGATTTAGCTTTAATTTGGTCACACTTTATAATGAAGCTGCATTTTACCATAAGGAGTTTGTGTGGTAGCTGTGGCTCTGGCTACAGCGTATTTTTTTTCATCCCTTACTATAAGGAGTGAAAAAGAAATGTCTATAAAAAAATTTATTGTTACCACTGAGTAGGGGTCCAGAGCTCACCTTTAGCGTTAGAATCCACGTATCCAGTGTCATTTGGGCACGTGAGCGTGGGGTAGGGAGATGAGAGGTCCTGAATTGTGTTTGAAGATTAATTTTATTTGCTGTGACTTGGAGCAAGGAATTAAATTTTGTTTAATATACACCAACATAAGGTAATAGAAATGTAATATTCAATCACATAGCAGTGATTGTGTTTGCCCGTGGGTTGGAGTGGTGCTGTAAATTGCCAGAGGTCTGAATGGAGTTTTGAATCTGTAAACCACGATGTAGGTTACAATATTTTCATTAACTCATGAATAATCTCATTTTTTATGGTCGTTAATTCCCTTCCTCGGACCTACCCTGTAAATTCTCTCAACGCCACGCAGTGGCTGTCTGGATTTTGTCCTTTACGCCGCGCCTGAAGATGCGTTTTGACGGCTCCGTTTAAAGCAAAGTGCTGAGGAAAACGTTTTTGCAATGTTTTTTATCCCCCCCTCGCGCGTAGATTTGATGTTACGGAGTCTGTGCTCTGTACAGTCGCGATCCACCTCCTCACGGCATCTCTGGGGCCCTGGTTCTGGAATTACACGGTAAAACCAGCGTTGATGCTCCCTGCAAGCAATGGCATGGACTGAGAGACAGCCCCTTTGTCATGCACAGAGGAACTGGTACTGAAAACCAACTTTTGAAGAGAAACGAGCAGTAAAAATCCCACCTCACTGGAAATAAATTGGGGTTTTGAGGCATCATACCTGAAAACAAGAGGAATGCCTGGCTGTTAAGCGGGAAAAAAATGGCTTTAAAGATTTCTTTTTGTTTTATCTGGCTCCACCTAAACGATAACTGTGGCTGTGGAAGCAGCTTGAAGCGTGGGCGTAAAATGATTTGGTTGGAACTACTTCTTAAAGTCGCAGAAACTTTTTGTGTTCTTGCTGTTTGAATCCCTGGCCACCAGAAAAAAAAAAGAATTGCTGGGCTAGCTCAGGGACCTGTCTGCTGTGCAGTAGCTGAAAAAATCAGCAGTTTCTGATAAAAATGCCCGTTTTGAACCATGCCACCTCATCTGTGTAGCCGAGTCAATAACTGTGCTGGTAGCTTCAGCCTTGAGTAACTTCATTTCCTGGTCATCTTGATTTTCAAACTGCTTTTCCTTGTGTCTGTGCTAAATATATCCTTTTTCCACTCGGGTTTACCACTCTTCAGAAAGGACTTTCTCTTCCTTATTTCATCTTCTAATACAATGGCTACTGGTGGGTTTTTTTTCCTCCCTGCTAGTGAACTGCTATTAAAAGTCAGTAAGTTGGGTTCCTTGAAATTTCTCAGAGTTGCTGGATTATTTTGCAGGGATATTGAAACATTAGAGATTTCTGATGGCCTTCTTAGAACCACATCCCATCTTAAGTAAAACGGAGATTTTTAAGGTTTTGATGGCTTGTTTACGTGCCCTTTGTTCAACTTGCGCTGGTGCAAATTGTGCTGGTTTTTGATTTGCTCATTTTTTTTTAATGTAATGGGTTCAGCACAATCTGTGCTGATATTGTTGGGTCTAAAGCAGAGCTGGTAATTAAAGACGCTTTCTAATAGCCTCATGAAAGCGATGTGGTAAATGGTGTACGTCACATCCCCTGGCTGAGGGCTGCAGCCCAGTGCCAGTCAGGCGTGCTCTGGAGGTGATTAAATGATATTATTTTTAAGTACTTTGTTGACAGTCTATGAAAGGCTGAAATTACTTCGTGTCAGGAAGTGGCTGTGTAGTGAGCAACACCTTGAAGGAAGGAAGAGCTTAATCAAGGTTTTACCCTGGTGCGATAACAGTGTTGTGACTCTGCCCAAGAAGTCGCTTAGGGCTGGAGAGCTGCAGGCAGAAAAGGGCCTGGGGTGTTGGTTGACAGCGACTGAACAGGAGCCAGCAGTGCCCAGGTGGCCAAGAAGGCCAACGCCATCCTGGCCTGCAGCAGCACTGGTGTGGCCGGCAGGAGCAGGGCAGGATCCTTCCCCTGTGCTGGGCACTGCTGAGGCCGCCCCTTGAATCCTGGGGTCAGTTTTGGGCCCCTCACTCCCAGAAGGACATTGAGGGGCTGCAGCGTGGGCAGAGAAGGGCAAGGGAGCTGGGGAGGGGTCTGGAGCATCCGAATGATGGGGAGCGGCTGAGGGAGCTGGGGGATTCAAGTGGAGAAGAGGAGGTGAGGGGAGACCTTATCCCCTCTGCAGCTCCTGAAAGGAGGGGGTAGCGAGGGGAGAATAAGTCTTAGTGGCCTCAAGTTGTGCCAGAGGAGGTTTAGGTTGAACATTGGAAAGCAGCTTGATTTTGGTATCATGCTTGTTTACTTACCTGACTGCTGCAGTCTTGCCAGGGGAGGTTTAGATTGGATATGAGGGAAAATTTCTTTCCTGAAAGTGTGTCCAGCACTGGAAGGGGCTGCCCAGGGCAGTGGTGGAGTCCCCATCCCTGGAGGGGCTCAAGAAGCTGTGGATGTGGCACTTGGGGATGTGGTTTAGTGGCCATGGTGGGATTGGGTTGGTGGTTGGACTTGATGGCCTTAGGGGTCTCTTCCAAACTTAGTGATTCTGTGGTTCTAGGACAAAAAAAAAATCCCTTAGTTCCAAAACATTTCCAAAGTCACCCCTGGGTATGGCAGTTACGTGAGAGGAAGCAACTGAAATGGTTTCATTGGCTGGGGACAACTGGCCATGTAATGGGGAGAGAGGTGACCTGGAGCTGGTGGAGATGTTGGTCTGTAGACCCCGTCTATAGTTTCCACCCTTGGAAATTATGCATTTACCATCCCAGAAGAAACTTGTTTTACCAATCAGGTGTTAAATGGTGAGACTGAGGGGTGCAGGGGATGAGCCAGGCAGAGCCCTGGGTTGGTCTTGCTCCAACTTTGTGACAAGTCCCTTCCTCCAAGCTAATTTTAATCAGTTTTTAGGCATCCTGAATTACAGAATAGCCTTAATAATCTCTTTAAATTCTTGCCCGTGTCGTTTCAGATGCCTTCGGGCATCTTTATTTTCAGTCTTAACTAATAAGCAAAGGCGCTGCTGCTCCGAAGTTGCTCACCCAGAACGCACAAAGCACCGCGTTTATTTGACGCAGTTTGAGGGCAGGGGGTAGAGATTTTTATTTCAGTATTGCACCATCTCTGAGATGGTTGAGCTACAGGAAATAAATATTCACACTGTTCTTTTTCACACTGCTCTTTTTTCATCTGATAAGCATTTGTAGAGTACAATGATGCAGCCCTGTGAGACTTTGTATTCGTTAAGGAAGGGGAAAAGAATTCTTCAATTGTTGATGAAGTTTGCTTATGCCTTCAGCCCGTGGAGAGATTGTTTAAAAGCATCTGAAGGCTTGAAACAATGGAAAACAAAAAGATTTGGGGAATCAAGTTAATTCTGAAGAGCTTCAGCCCTGCAGCTCTGCAGTGTCACCCCTCAGCTCTTGTGCTGCTGGGCTGCGACTTCTGCTTGTAAGTACCTCACGTTTTGGTGTTTTCCATAGGCCAGAAGTGGGCAGTTTTAATTGCAAATTAGAGTGTTTTAAGATTAATGACTCTGGAAACTACTCACAGAATCACAGAA